ATCTCTGAGCCATCTCTCCAGACCCCTTTCTTTTTTAAATTTAAATTAGAAACAAGTTTCTTTTGCATGTCAATCCCAGTTCCCTCTCCCTCCCCTCCTCCCCTGGCCCCCACTTACTCTCTACCCCACACCCTATCTGCTCCCCAGAGAGGGTGAGGCTGTCCATGGGGGAATCTTCAAATTCTGATATACCATTTGGAGCAGGGCCTAGACCCTCCCTCATGTGTCTAGGCTGAGAGAGTATCCCTCTATTCGGATTGGGCTCCCACAGTCCATTAACTACCAAAGTATTCAGTGAAACATAATTGTAGATTAATCAAGTAAATATTCACTAGTTGAAGAATAAACTGATAAAAAAAAACTTATGTAAAGCTCAAAGACATAGTGGCCCCCAGTAACATCTTTCCGTAATCACTGTAAACTATGATACATGATGTAGCAGAGTGACAGAAAGGGGGCCTGGGAGTCTGATAGCCTCCTGTGGGTTAAAACTTTGAAATGTATGGTCATAAATACAAAAGCAAGTCCTAGCCCTACCACTTAATTTGCCTCAATCTACATTAAGGACTACAGTTTCTGTTTTATTTTTAGCTCTTAGCTATCCCAGATGGGCTCTCAGTATTACTGGGAAGCAATTCCTGAAGCATTCCCTATGTCCCCACCCACCTTACCTTGAAGGTTTCCTGTCTTCCTGACATCCTACATCCCTTTTGAAACCCTTCCCCTCTTCTTCCCTGCTGTGTTTTGCTCCTAGCAAGCTTTCAATTAATCCCCACAGAGGTGTTAACAGATAAATAAAGTTTTAACTGGAGTGTGAATACTCTTAGGACTATTAAATGTTGAAAGCAGGCTCTTTGAAGACCCAGATACTCAGTAACACAAAGAGCCAAGGAAAAGAGTTCCCTGTGATTAATAACATCACACTTAATGGACTTTCATTCTCAGTATGAACATGTTCAATCTGTTAGGTACCAGTGACTAGCAGGAGATGTGTTAGGGTAGATGTGTAAGCAGAAGGGAAGGAGCTAAATCTCTCTAGACCAGGACAAATGCCAAATCACTGAGATGGCCTCCACCTCTTCTGAGTTAAGAATATCAAATTTCTCCTCAAGTCTTGTTTGGTTCTATCTTAGGTCTCTGAGGCCTTTAGCCTCTGGGTCCTGGCACTCCAGCCAGTGTCAGGGGTGGGCTCATTATCCTGGTATGTGTTTATTCCCAGGCCAGTCATTGCTTGGCCACTCTCCCACAGCCCCCAACTTCCCATCCCACCTGTCTGCCAATTCCATAGGCAGGAGAGACTGTAGATCAAAGGTTGTGTAGCTGGGCCACTCTCTTCCCAATCCCTCCACTGGAAGTCCTGCCTGGTCAAAGGAGATGGCCAGTTGAGGCTACACATCCACCATTGCTAGTTCATAGGCCCTCATGGAGTCTGAACTGACAGCCAGAGTCTGAATGGGACGTATGTCCTCTATATATGTCTGACACTTGTGTAGCTTGCTCTACTTGAAGAACTTCTAGCAGTGGGAGCAGGGGCTGTCTCTAACACTTTGTCTGGCTTTGGGGAACCTATTGTTATACTGGTTTGCCTTGTCCAGCCTTAATAAAATGCTAAGAGATTAATCCTACCTCAAGTTGATATGCTTTGTTGATACCCACTGGAGAACTGCCCCTTTCTGAACAGAAAAAAGAAGAGGATTGGACTGAGTTGGGGGAGGCAAGGTGAGGGGAGGTAATGGGAGGAGAGTAGGGAGAGGAAAGTACAGTCGAGTGATAAAATAAATGAATACATTTAATTAGTAAAAAAGAATAACAAACTTACAATTTTCTAACTAATACTATCCCACTGTCAGATCTGAATCTTGGCATTCTCAATAAATTTTTGCACTGTTTAGCATCTTTAAGAGCTGTCAGTAAAAGCCAGGAGTGGAAAGTTTCATAAATGTGTTCCAACTGGCGATGAAATGTATACACAGTGTGTGTGTGTGTGTGTGTGTGTGTGTGTGTGTGTGTGTCAGTATAAAATAAATGTGTTTCCATGCATTTAATTTATAGTGATAATGGTGATCCCTATGTTAATAAGTATGATGCTGAATGTGGTGACAATGTCACAGGATGATTCCACATAATATGCCTGATTAAGAGAAAGGTTACTGATTTTAGAGCACCAGTTAGTTTATTTTTAAAATATGGACTACTTCTGTGTTTTCATATTGTACCCAAGGTTTAATATCTGTTCTTTACCCGTCCTCTTATTTTAAAAAATGGCACTGTAAAGCATGATTAAAATTCTGATGGAATTGAGAAGGTAAGTAAGTCTCCAAATCTTGATGTAGAAAGGTGAAGATGGGGGCAAGAGAGAGGCATTGGAGGGTGGATCTGCCAACGATGGGAAATGAAAATTCAGAAAAGCTGTGATACATGCCAAGCTTGACTGTGACTAAGCAAAATGAGTATCTAGCTCTGAAACAATAGTATATATCACTGTTCTCAAAGCCCTTTGACACAACTTTTTATATCAGTCATCACTTCTGCCATTTGTAATTGTAGGTGTTATAAAAATTTTCTCCTCCATTTTTTGTGGCAGAAATGGGTTAACCTTTCTTTTCTAAGTTAAAATTTCACTTTCTTCATTTATGCTAATAATCTATGCTCACTTGAATTCTGTATTTGAAGTTAGATATTAAAATTGATCAGTTTCACTTCTTTAAAAATGTGATTAGAAAATAATGATACAAGTGAGAACAAAGTGTTCAGAATATGTAAAGTAGTTAGTTGTTGCTACTATTCTAATGAATAACTCCTGAATTTTAGAAAATACAAGACATTTTCAAAGGTTATAGCTTGGGAAGGTGTTGTTTGCCTGACGCATCAAATAATTCAAATATAGATATCTAACACTTTTGTAGTCTTCAAGCATCCAGAAATCTCTTGATTTGCATACAGTCCTCCCTTCATCTGCTTTCTCTAAGAACAAGGAAGAGATTTTCTTCATAGGATTCTGCACGGGACATGAATCCTACTGTTGTCCCTTCCTCGGGAGCCACAAGTATTCACATCAGTGGAAGTTGAAGTGAAAGATCCTGGTTAGGGCTTCAGAGCTTCTTGCTCATTTTGTAGAAGGGTACCATAGATGACTTGTTTATGTATGCGCTTTATGTTTATGGTTCAAGTACACTTACGGTAGCATACAAAACAGCAAAACCGTTCTTGGAGAGATTCTAGGAAGGAGAGATGGGTGTGTGCATTGAGTATGGCATGTTGGTGAAATCAAACACGCTGCCCGCCAAATCTTAAAGGAGGAAAGAAAATCCACATCTTTCCACATTATCTTGGCTCTGAAATAATCCAGTTCAGAGCATTGACATTTTCAAACATTTAAGCGCTCGACCAAGGCCTTATGCTCTTACTTTAGCTGAGGCAGAGCTGAGTTCAGGTTCATGGCAAAGTCCCAGGGATTCTCTCTGTGATGCATAAAGTTTTCTTCTGATCTCTTTCCTTACATATGCCCGACCATCTTTGAAACTGCAGAACAGAAGCAGACAGGAGAGATAGACCCCATGCTCTGCACTTAATCTAAGAGCAGAAAGAATGAGAGGGTTCTGTTTGGAACATGAGTACCTCTTCTGGAGGCTAGAGGTTAGGAAGCAGAGGATTCCTAGGCGAGGAGCCTACAGCATCCGCTGGCTCCAACCAGGTTTTCGCATCCGGAACTTGCTGCAGCTGGGATTCGGGGAGAGGAAGGTGGGATAGAAGGAGGGGAAGACGGAGGTGGGGGAGGGAGGGGTGAAGCGAGAGGA